TACAGTCAATTCAAAAAATGTTGTCGTCGACCAACTCAAGCCTACGCGACTGGACCGAAAGGAACACTGGGTAGCAATCATTGAAGCCAAGTTGACTCCATAATTTTATCTGGCTAGTTATGCCTGGTTTACAGCACCAACTTTGTAGGCGAGCAGGAAGTGTTGAAGGAGACTTTTTTTTAATGCCTTTATATTTTCGGAATTGTGAACTGAATCATAACTACTTTGTTTTTCTTTCCCTAAACCCAAAGTTATGCATTTGATGGATTATCTCGCCATTATTATCTTATTACTAGCGGAAACAATTTATTCAGAACGAATATTTAATCGCTTCAGTGATTTTTACCCATATTCCTTTCGGTCCAGTCGCGTAGGCTTGAGCAGGTCGACGACAACGTTTTTTGAATTGACTGTATACTTAGCATACACGGTAGTCATGAGACACTATTTCCATTGTTTTCCCTTTGTTTTACTTTGACTGTTAGTCACTAATCATACGACTTTGAATTGTTTTACGGACAACAAAATCTATAAAAACTACTTTGTTAATTTATTTACTTATCAATTCATGATTTTTATTTTGAAGTAATGAAATTTCCTGTTTCTAGGTTCTTGATGATAAGGTAGATGATATGGCGAAGAAGATTTCGCTAAAAAAAGCAAGAAAAAATACGAGAAAACACTCAAACGGCGTAGAGAAGAGAAACAATGGCAGTGAGGAGGATTCAACTGACTCGCGCTTTGGTTATAAAGCAGTTTTCTTCAGTAGTTTCGCTGCAATTCTTGGATTTCTGCTTCAAAGGGGAATTTGGCAAAATGAAATGCTTCTGCCAGATAACAATGGTGGATGGGGAAAAGCAGCAATGAAGGACGAACAACTTTTTAACACCAGCCAATGTGACATCGAGAGGAGATTCGCTGAAGATTTAACCAAAGATGACTTCGAAAAGAATTACAGGTTTAGAAAACCGGTTTTGTTGAAGTTCAAGGATGGAGCAGCAGGTTGGACGGATCCGTGGAAATGGACGAAAGACAATCTCGTGAAGGAGTATGGGAAATGGACTGTATTGAGTGGGACGTCTGATAATATCGTTAGGTCTGGAGGAAACGGTGACCAAAAATCTTCATTCACTGAATATCTTAATGAAATTATGAATAATGAAAAGTTAAAGAAAGAACCATGGTTAGTCCTAAGTCTAAAAACCCTTTCATCTCGTGTGTCATGCTTTGACTTGAAGAAATAGAAAACGYGCACGTGTGTTGTATGCTGTCATAAAGCACGCGGGGGTTGGCAGAACACGAGAGAAGTGTTAGGAGAAGCACGACGCGTAGCGGAGTGCATCTCGACACTTCTCGAGTGTTCTGCCAAATCCCAAGTGCTTTATGACTGCACACRGCACAGCAAGCAAGTTTTTTATTTCTTTTATAAAATACAAATTACAATAATAGATAGGAATGACGCMACGGAAAGTGCGCGCGCGTGCAATGTGYTCTCATAAAGCACGCGCTCCAAACCAATCAGAACGCGACATTCATAACAGTTATTTTATAATCGAAATTAATGATTCACAGTATTGAGTGTAGTGCTGTAGAACGTCTGCGCTTGCCCCAAATCATCGCTAAAGAGACGCGGTTGAATTTTTTTGACAAATTCGACAGGGTTATCACGTTGTTTTTTCGTTATCAACCAAACATTTCTTAACTTCAACAAAAAAATTTAACTTCGGACTCTTTTTCCAAGTTTTTTTATATTCTTTCTCTTCAGTCAAAATAACTATGCTTTGATATTTTGTCAGGTATATGTTTGATAGAAATTTTTACGAAAGTTCAGACCTTCCCGACACAATAAGACCGCCAAGCTACCTCAGGATCACGGTAAGTCAGCTCAAACTTTACCTAATATTTTGCTGCATTCTGATTGAACAATTAACAAAATAAACAAAGCGAATTAATTGATGGTGAACGAATAGCATGTCATGCAAAACATCGATCATTAGCTTTGCGCATTCTGATTGGACGATTAACAAACAAAAGCTATTTAAATGACTAACAGTCCGGATGTAATGCGAAATTTCTTTATCCAGCGTAGAAACATAGTCATCTTAACATCTATCKCGCGCATCCTGATTGGACTATTAGCAAAATGTAGCGATTTGATTGGTTATCTTATGCTACCTCGTTCCAGGATGATGATAGCAGTATCTTTTTTCTCGGTGGTTCTGGGTCCGGGGTGAGCTTCCACAAGCACGCTGATGCATGGAATGGAGTGGTTTATGGACGCAAGAGATGGTTTCTCTATCCTGTGGAATTCACTCCACCTGGGGGTGAGAACATTCTTTTCTAACTCTATTTCCTTAGTCATTTGTCTATCTTGAGCTGTCGAACGCTCAAAGAAATATTTGCAATGGCGGATTTTTGGTGGTCGTTCAAAGCAGCTCTGGGTCCTACTTTTGAAAATGATTATTTTCTAAAGCGCGYAAATTGCCTTTTTTTAAATCTACCCTAATTCGTTGTGTCGATTACTTCGAAATCTGGAAGGCGGGGACATGGCTAAGCTCTTTTTTGATATTCTTACGATCCTATGCACCAAACGCTACCAATAGTACAAGTGGTGTGGGATGCCTGTGTTGATTGGCCGTAGCTATAGGAACGAGTCCTACTAGTTAAAAAATATACGTGTGCGTGTTTCTAATACATATTCAGGTGTTTGGCCAAGTTTTTCTCAGCGGGAGTGGTTCAACAAGGTTTACCCTACGCTTCGTCCCAAACAAATGCCACAGGAATGTGTGCAGGAAGCTGGAGAAATCATGTATTTGGTAAGTATTAATATTGGTTATTATTATATAGATATCGATGAAATACCAGGTTTTCTCTAGTGTCGAAAACTTGATATCTTTCACCAGTGGAAGATACCATATCTTTCACACGTGAAGATATAACATAGTAACCGGCGTATTTTAATAAAGAATTTTTGAGCTTTTGTTTTATTTAAGTTTCATCGATATCTATATAATAAACAGAACATCACATGGCCGCTTGGAGATACGAATTTTATCTTCTCGTGTTCAATTTAGATATCTCACTCGTTTGCTGCGCTCACTCGTGAGATATCAATTGAACACTCGAAGATAAAATTCGTATCTCCGCGCTCCCATGTAATATCCTCTATTTATCCTATCCGCTCATTCAATCAGAATGATCGGATACAAATCCGGTTAACACTCACAGCACGGGACGGTCGGGGGGTTTTCACATGCAGTCACTAGCGCCAAGTTTCTCCTTAACTCCAACCGCTTCTAACGTGTGCTGACAAGGATTTTAATATAATATTTTATTGTTTCAGCCTGAATCGTATTACCATGGCACAATAAATATTGGAGATACTGTAGCAATAGGGATACAGAAGATAGAAGCCACCACTAGAATAGAGGCCATGTCCTACCAGGGTATGTATGACACGATAGTACTATAGAGTAATATAGGAGATAATGTAGCG